ATTTAACTTAGCAAAATAGCAAATTAGTTTCACTTTTTGCCGTGGGACTTCTTTTGAGACAAACTTGTCTTAACAATATAAACTTTGAATATGAAGCATGAACAGCTGTCAACGAAAATGCACAAGGTTGATTTTTTTCGTTATTTAAACGGGACAATAAAATTACTGTATTCTGTTACATATATAATACAACAATTTACAATGTAACATATTTTCATAGGAATTTGTAACAAATGTAACAATATATTATATAAAACTTTTACCGAGTATGAGAATAATAAAATCTATTAGTGGAACATTATATCCTTATCATCAAGTAATCACAATAATACGAGCGTTATCTTTTGAAATGTAAACATATCATGGAGGTAATATTTCTTGCAGATTGTTTGGTGCAAAAACACCTTTCTCAGTAATTATTCCTGTTATCAAAGATGCCGGTGTGACATCAAATGATGGATTCCAACACTTAATTCCTGAAACAGGCACAATAGTTAATATTATATATGTATATACAAACTTTGAGATCATTTAAATTATTTTAACACTTGCATTGCCGTTTATGTGCATTGTGTTATCAATACATATTCTAGAAGGTTATCTGATAAAATGCATATTTGTAGCGAGTTTACAACAGTGTAACAATGCTTGTCTTATGTATTTTTTTCTTATATTAGTATAGTTACCTGGAGCTGCAATTCTAAAATCGCCGATATGCGTCATTTCTTTATCTGGTCGTTCTTCTATTTTTATACTGTCTCCTGATTTTAAGGACATGTCTATAGATGTTAAAGGTGCAGCAACATAGAACGGCACATTATGGTGTTTAGCAACTATAGCTATTTGATAGGTACCAATTTTGTTGGCAGTATCTCCATTAGCAGCTACCTGGAAGAGTAAACAAAAAAAAATGTTAGAGCAAAAAAGAAATTATAAATGTAAAAAAGATGTAAAAAAGGTTAAAATTACTCATTTTTCAATTATATAACAACATATTGACCTTAAATCTTAAATTATTACAAAATGTGTGTATATAAAAATATATAGCAAATATAACATACCCTATCAGCACCCACAACTACGGCAGTTATCTTTCTTGCATGCATCAGCGCAGCGACCATGCTATCAACAATCAATGTGGCAGGAATTTTCTCATGAACCAATTCATATGCAGTGAGCCTCGCTCCTTGATTATACGGACGAGTTTCAGTACAGTAAACATGCTCTGGAATGGAAAAGTTAAAATAATTCAAGCTACAAATGTGGATCTAAGCGAGAAACTTGCACTTTGCTACATATATCTACTAAATATGTGGATTGTAAAACAAACATCTCTTTACTTTACCATAGCAATCAGTACAAAAGCAAAAATTTAAATATTAAGTTATGTAAAGACTGACATTATCTTACAATATTTAGCTCTCAATACCATAGGACTATCAAAATCAACATTTTTTTTGTATAATCTTATAAGATGATTATAATCAAGTACCTAGTCTACTAGATTTATGCAGGGATCTGATGACTCCTAAAGCAGTTCCATAACCAGCGGTTGCTAAGGAACCAGTGTTGCAATGTGTGAGCACTCTCACTTGACTGTCACCTTCCAACTGTTTTAATATAGCTTCGCAACCAAACTTGCCTATTGCTTTATTGTCTTCTATATCTTTAACAAGCATGCTTTCAATGCAAGTGATGAATCTAAAAGTACAATATGTAAAGTCACTTGTACTGTATTTTCAGTTTCAAAATTCTGAAATATTACAAAAAATATATACAAAATATGTTCATTTTATTAGTTAATCTCTTACCCATCTCATAGTTCTTGTTTCATAGTACATAAGGTTTAGTGAGATATCACATTCAAGACTGACATCTAAAACTCACCAATAATGTTAAGTCAAGATTGTTTGTTTTTCAACACAATGTTTAAATATTTTTTTCTTTATTGCTTTTCATTTATCTCTTCTATGATGAAATTGCAAAGAGTAATATACAAATAGTAATTAACAAAGATCATGTTTTATATGATTTTACCTTTCTTTAAAACTTTCCGCTGAAACATTTTCATCTGCGCTGAGAGTGTTAGCTAAATTTATAAGTTCTTCTGCTGCTAACTTGATGTTCACAGCTGTTGGCCTGGCTGATACTAAGTAATTTAATTTACCTTCAATCTGTAGAGATAAGTGTCAATTACATATAAAGTTGTAGATTGCCAGCTGCCCTGATTGTAGTGAATTAAAAAATGTAAAAAGATATAAAAACTACTTTGCATAACACCATGGTAGTCAACCTCCTTCATTGGATGGTGAGTCCAACAGTACTACATCTATGCCAAATTTCAGGAAGATCCATTGAGTTATTCTAGACATATCTTACTAATGTTAATATAATGTTAAGAGTTTTTTTTAAATAAAATACAATTTGAACCTTGACCTCTTGTCTCATAATCTTTTTGTCAGAAGTTTCATCCTTAAGCAACTCAACGGCAAGTGATAAGCAACCAACTATGGCTATAGCCGGTGCCCCCCTGACCTAGAAGTGATAAGAAAAACATAGATCTTGAATATACTACTTATGATGAAAACAAGACAGACAAATTTAGGAGAAAAAAATATCATATCAATGGGTAAACACTAATAACAACTTTGCAATGGAATCAAATTATTTAATTGACAATGATGATGAATAGAATATAAAAATTATTAAGTTGAAAAATTACACTCTTTCATGTTTTTAATTTCTTTTATTACAGTAGTTAAATAAGTGTAATAAGCCATATGTATTTTTCTTTATAATAAACATAATGAAAAAGTTTTTATAGTCAGAAATATGAATAAGCCACTCACTTGCATTTTATTTATAACTTTCCATCCGTCTTCAACACCTGCAACTTTAATATAAATCGTTTGTAATGGAAGTAATAATTGGTCGAGGACTTCTAAATTTCCTCTTTGATACTTAATAGATTCTAAACTCATTTTGAATGTTATGGAATATCAAGAGGTTTTGGACCGCTGGACCGGCCCTTGGCACTACTGAAAATGTACCAAATTAAATCTATTTAAAACAAAATAGTGAACAATGTTAAAAATTAGATTTTTGCTGGAGTTTGCTTTCAGCGGGTAAGGTTATACGACGTAAGATTAAAAATCGCAATTCGTTCGAAGTACCAGTTGACATTGACACTTGACAACAACTTCATAAGTTCACAGTGTGAGTGTGGCCATATAAAAATTAAACAATTTATGACAAAGAATACGCCTGGTTCGACTATAGACAAGATAGTTTTTCTTGGCATAGTGCAAAACATTGACAGGAAATGGCTATATCAATTTGTCTATGATCGTTTTTAATTTCCGGCCGGCATTGTGGAGAGAAGCTTCGTCATTGCGCTTTGATTCTAGAAGTTTTTCAAGCAATTTGCAGAGTTTAGCAAAATGTCCTTACCACGCGTTTACTTTGATGTAGTTGCCGATAGTGCTGTTTTAGGGAGAATTGTTGTAGAGGTAAGCTGATATAATTAGTTGTGATTAAGATTCCGGCCGGCGTGATACACCCGACCACGCTATCAAAAAATTGATTGGTTTTAATCATTCATTTTACAGTACTAGTATGATGCCCATAATGTTACTAAATGCTTACTATGCAAACTAAATCGCTATTTTTACCCGAAGTTAAGTTCATAAAATATGTAAAGGACATGGCTGTTCTGTACAGCTATATATAGATATGTATAATAGACACTCCTCAGTCTGACCGAGATTACTTTGTGAAGGTCAAATTGTCCTAAGACCTTGACAGCTAATAGTTTATGGCGGAGGATTATCAATGTTTGTCTCATAATGATTTTAAAAATCTTTTACACCCGTTTTTACGGCGATGCGTGGCTTCTTAGTACTTTAACATTCCTATGGAAACTTTCTGTCGGCAATATTAAACGGCATGTTTTTTGGAATGCCAAAATTTATTGTGCAGAATTTTTTTGCGCCTGTTAAGGCATTTACTTATTATAATGTATTAATGATGCACCTCAGAAAATAATATTGATATGATTTTATTTTGTTATTACAGCTAAGGACAGATGTTACTCCTAAGACATGTGAAAACTTCCGCGCTCTTTGTACTGGCGAAAAGGGCTTCGGGTACAAGGGATCCACTTTCCACCGAGTGATCCCCAACTTCATGTTGCAAGGTGGTGACTTTACAAACCACAATGGCACTGGTGGAAAGTCCATCTACGGTGAGAAGTTCGCTGACGAGAACTTCGTCCTGAAGCACACCGGCCCTGGTGTTCTCTCAATGGCTAATGCTGGCCCCAACACCAACGGGTCTCAATTCTTCATTACTACTGTGAAGACATCGTGGCTGGATGGGCGACATGTTGTCTTCGGAAATGTGGTTGAGGGTATGGATGTTGTCAAGCAAGTTGAGTCCCTTGGCTCCCAATCTGGCAAACCCTCGAAGAAAGTTGTCATCGCTGACTGTGGCCAGCTTTCCTAAGCTAATTGAATGAAATATTTAAAAAATGCAATATTTTAAGTTCTAACATAATGTCACTCAACTACCATTTCCATTCATGAAGATTTTACATTTAAATATGGGTCATTCCAATAATGTTATAAATTTATAACTATTTTTTTTAGGTCGCAAACTAGTAATTGCATTTATTTCTGCATTGTATATTCATAATAAATTAACTTATATACTTGTTTGCAATTTCTCTTCAATGTCTGTAATTACTATGCAATTTAATGGGGGATTGTTTCCTAAGTTATGAGACTGCCTATTATTGCTAAATGCTTGTATTTTGTACTTGTTACTCTTGATTGCCGTGTAATAATAGAAGTAGTGCAAAACATAATTACAAAAGTACTCACATTTATTGAAATAAAGGTAGTTCTTCATAAACTTTGCTCCTTTTTCTTTCCTTTGTACCTTTACCTTGCTCTTGACAGTGTGTACCTGTCAGACTGGCCATATACACCATAAAATCTCACTGCATTTGCATTTAAAAAAATCTGTTTTTAGCAAAATATTAGGGGATGGCAATATGTTTTTTTTACAAGTTTGGTTACTGAAAACCTATGGTCAAAACAAGTTTAGTAATGTAATTGGTAGATAAAATGTAACCACAATAATTGATAAAGCTGGGAAAATTAAAGCCAACATCCTGTTGAAACAACATAGAACTGATGGAAAATTGTGGTAAATTAAAAGATAAAAAAGGCCCACAAAGTAATGGTTTAATAATATAATTTTTTACATAGCATTTAATAACATAATGACAAGAATGGGTATATTTGACATGCGCGTTTTAAAGTTGTTTTAATGTTAATAATAATCATGGAATGGAGATCTTTATTTTTTTAAATTGAACTATCTAAAAATGAATAGTTTTACAGTTTTAAAGCTAAGAAACAAAATACATAATCTCGCCCTAGTTAGTGCTCCCATAGATGATTCATAATCTATTCGAAAAAGTCAATATGTACAACTATAGCTCAATTTGGTTTAGCATAAACCAAAAATTAATTAATAATTTTTTGCCAAATGAAATCTAAGACTATTAAGTATGATAAGTAATAAGAAAGGATGTAAATAAATTCCGTTTGCGTCAGATCCGTAGTTACAAAGCGAGGTTGTACAGCATGAAGTGCAGGCGTATAGTTTCGTACGCTCTCCGATAACGATGCAGCCCGGCTCGCAGTGTTTCGTACAATTACGTTCGAGTGCCCACATCTTGAGTGCGGTCGTGGAATTTTCCGTTGAAGTCGTGAATGAGAATCGCTTTACCTGAACATATGATAATTAGATAAACAAAAGTAAATCGAATTAGTACAAAGTTACGAATGACTCATACAGATAGCATCGATAAATTTTAGACAAGATAAAAAAAAGATATGCACTCCGACACGGTCGTCCAAGGCTTTAATTAGTCACCAAGAAAGGTCTTTTGTGTCGATTTCTCAAACTAGATCTATCGCACAAATTAATAGACATTTTTTTCGTTTTTTTATGCCACTAAAGACATTTACCATGCACATTCGTCGGTCATTTTGACATTTGTGTATAAGCGCGGAGTTGTTGTGTCGCAAGTCCGCGCATTTGTCCTCAGGCACCTCGGCGAGGCATTTGTAGCACCATAGCTCATTGTTGGGTCGAGCCGCTGCCGATGTCACATGAACACTGTCCCGAAGCAAATCACCTTTAAGTCCTGGAAAATGCAATTTTGATACTTCATTACTAGATATAAGTAGTAAACTTTAAACAGTAAATAAAATAATTTATGTTGAATTTAATAATCATAACACCTATGATGTTTTTAAAAAACATATTTAAAAGGATGAACGAAATAAAGGATAACATCGGTGTCAGTGGTATAAAAAACGACTAAAATACTAAAACCTAATGGAAAGTATTAAACATATCTACATCTTTGGCCTTTGTCTTTAGCCTGTTTTAAAAGGAGAGACAATGCGAATCTTAATAACTACCTACACATAATGTTATTAATAGAAATGAACTAACACGAGATTTATTAAAAAAAACATGAACATACGTCTATGTAAATTTATTCAGGCCATTGTTTGGTGACTGTACTTTAAAAGGCCGCGACCATAGACAAGCGTTTGACGTTTGCAAATTACTAAGGAATGACGAGCGTTCAAGCGTTCTACTTGCAAATGCTTTTGTGTGTCTATGATTATGATGCAATAGAATGTTATTGGTGATGGTAAGCTTTTATAAACATTAATTTGACATACCTGGAAGGAAAATTGACACCGAGAGCAGTAGCACACAGCGCATGATGTTTGCAATGTACAAGGCGCATGATCCAGCATCTGTATCGATTGGACCTCGCTGCGACCTGTTGCTGTTCCCGGCTGGCCCCGCCCACATACCCCCCGCGACCCCGCGCCCGTAGCCCCCTTCTAACCTCCACATCTACACGACTCATCCTTCAAGGTCCTACGGAGCACTGTAATCGTGGAAAACAATCACAACTTTCCGAATTCTAAAGAAAATTAAAAAGTTCTTCCCTTGTCGCTGTTGTACATACAGTTTTAGCGAAATAAACGATCATTTTATGCTGGTTAAAAACTGAATTTGACTTCAAAGAACATATACAACTTTATTCATTCTCTTTGAAAATATTTGAACGTTCCGTAATTATGTTTTTATAGTAATGAAGTTCACTCTGGATTTAATTGTAGACTTTAAATTATTGCTTATATTAGTTAAGTATGACTTAATTTTGTTTTTTATGTAATCTTTTATGACATAATAATAATGAACAATGAATGAGTTAGTAGATGTCATATTCCTTGCGTCGCAAGAACGGGATAAATGCTGTATCAAATTAGTTAAGGTCAATTGGATTAAGCCAAAACCTTGAATGTCGCAATTATGCATATGTTTTAATATACAATTAGATGTCTTGTAAAATAAAGTTTTAATATAAATTTTAGAATGAAAATAAATGTTAATATTTGATTTATTTTGAACCCAAATAAAATTTAGTTTTTATTCATTTTAATGCTATTCCTAAAACTTACATAAACCATAAATAAGAAAGTAAATGGAAAGTATAGAAATAGTTCTGCTAATTTGGTAATATCGATAACCTAAAATTTGGTCTGGCAAAGCGAAAGTGAGACTTCAGCGAAAATATTTTTACGAAACATTAGCTTTATTTATCGGCACGTGCGCCGGAAAATCCGGAGTTAGGGCCCGCCGGAGTGGATGAGGCACTCGACCGTGAAATTTATAACCTGCCTACTTATACACACGTACTAGTACAAAATAAATTGATAATTTGATTAGTGAAGATGGAAAGCCTTACTTAAAATAGTACTTCAAAAATATTATGAATTTCGACTTACATATAAAGGCTTAAACCCTCAGGTATATCTGTCCGGTGTCGGCACCGACTAGTTTCGAGCCCATCAGAGGCCCTTTTAGCCATTTATATTTTAGTTTATGATAATGTCTCACCAAAGTTTGAATGATTTAATTACGGATTTTGCTTATAATGTAAAGAAAAAAGCATGTAGACATGTAATGGTAAATCTAAGTAAGTAATTCTCCAATGATCTAGTTGTATCCCTTGGGAGACATGACGGGGCAGTACATAAAGTTGACATTTGGGAATATTATGTCGGAAATGTAGTAGCAGGGATAGTTACAAGAATAGGGATCTCAGAAGAAGATGTCATGCACAGAGCGAAGTGGAAGAGACGGATTGAGAAAGCTGACCCCACCACCTTGTGGGATGCAAGCTAGGGAGAGAGAGAGAGAGAGAGAGTCACAGAAACCAATAACATTTTGAAATGGAGAAAAAAAAATATTGAAATTTCTGATCTGAACCAATCATGACCCAATTTTGAAGTAATTTATATTAAAAATAATTTCGAAATTTAACTTAGCGGATTATTGATACCGTATATTTCCATTGATTTGTAGGTATACTTATCAATTACAATTGTTAAAACTTTTGGCCAACGAAGTTTGCGAAACTTTCAAACATCGTTGCCAGCCACGAGCTATTATAGATTAAAATTAAAATTGTGAATACACAAAATTTTGTTATAGACAATGAATTTACTAAGCGAACGAATACTTAAATGAAATTAAGCTTTCGAACGACATAAATACTTTAGAAGTGTTGTTTGGATTTGTATTGTTAATTAGCTAACTGGGAATTTTAGAAATAATTTTCTTTTTAAAATGTTAATGATGTCGCAAGATAGATTGATTAAGGAACGAAGACCTAGTACCCTACCCTATGTATAATAAAAGATATGTAAGATGACGATGATATTAACTCTTGTAATATTAATAATATTAATGAATATTTGTTGTAGTGACTTTAACTAACTTTCATTTCAAGTACTAAACATAACCTCACATACTTAACATTATCACCTGATACTCCTCACTACCCATCCACAATATATCCTTTTAAGATTATATTACTTCATAAAACTATTTAATATGAAATAAGATATAAAAGAATCATAAAAAGCTATAGAGATTACATGAGAAAAGCTCGTAATAATAAAAAAAGCATCCGAGACCTTTCAATATTACTTTATAACGAAAGCTATTTCTTTTGCACTAGGAAAAATTTATATCAATAAATAGTAATAAAAAAGTTAAGAAAAATTAAATACAACCCGTATGTTATGAATAACAGTTAACTTTTAAAGAAAAAAACTGTTTGTTAGCGGAAAGAAAATGATAGATTCGTATTAGAAATTTAATCAATTATCTTAAACACTATATCAGTTTAAAAAAAAAATCATTTACAACGTAGAAGATATAGTAGAATTACCTGAACGTAAGTAACGCTTAAGTATCGCAGTTATCGTGGTAGAGAGAAGTGCGTTAGGCGTAAAATGTCTTCCAACCATCTCGACCCCATCGTAAAACTTCTTAGCGCTCAAGTCTGATTGTTGATGCGTACAGATAATACGCTTTACGACTTTTGTGAAAGAACTTGAAAGCATTGATAGATTATTAAACCACTCAACTTTTATATTTATTTATCAATAAATGTATATAATATCACATTTTAATAGCAGTATATTTTTATAGAATGAATAAATGCTTTATTTTAACACTCTTTTACACTATATGGGAGCCTTAGCTCCTAAATTAGGTCAGAGCCCTTTCATAGAATATACCGTTCATTCTTCGAATAAGTTTATAATTCTGGTGTGAAACTCGATTATCACGTTGAGTGTTGAACGAAACTATCTTTCATATTATCTAGACAATAACAAATATAAGTACTTTGAAATTTAAATTACTTATCAAATTATGTACAATTTCTTAAAGTATTTTTCAAGTTTTGTCTTTTTTTTCAAATGGTGAAAGTATCTTTAAATAAAACTGTTCTTGCTACAGGAGGAACAAAATAAATTTAATGTGAATAAGAGAGGTAACAAACTAGATAAAAGAAAGATCATAAAATGGCCATTAGGTTCAATCAGATCACCTAACGATATTACAAAGTGGATTCAATTTACTGACCAACGGAGTATTCCGACTTGATAATATTGGAACATTCATTTCGGAACAAAGATTTAAGACTATAGCTATTTTTTATTTTATTACTCGAATAATTAAATAAATTACATCATTGAGATTGTAATACAATGTATAATATAAATACACCTTTTTGGTTTTGAATTCTGACTATATAACATCAAAACCCTCTCAAATTGTTATTTTTTCTTACATATTAACTCATGGTTGTGCATAGTCTTGTAGTAAATACAAACATGTGTAAATCTGCTCTTTAGCGAGCGACATTATTTATTTGATAACTAAACAAAAATATTCTACAATTGTTTACCGTAATTCAAGCATGAAATAATCTACGCAACATGAAGAAATTAAACCTGATTTTGTTACTTTGTGTAGAACATGGTATTTAATTCGTGGATTTTATTTTAATAAACCAGAAATAAGTAAGCCGGAAAAGGTTCAACAATCGGATTTCCATAAAAAAGGGCAAAAACTGTATTCATGTATTCGATGCGAATGACGGGACATAAAGAAACAATGCGTGTATTGAATTCCCTTGCGGCCGCTCGTAATGTTGCGATTGTTCCACAACGTACGAGTATGCGCCTTTTATATCAAAATTTGACGCCTTGTCTGCGACGAACGTGAACATAATTTACATGATAAATGCTCTGATGATTGAGTACAGAAGAGAAATTCTTGAGTACAGAATCAGACACCTTTGTTTTTTTATCAATGTCCCAACGAGTTTCCACGTTGGGTTACTTAAGGCCGCATTAACGTGGGGGTTTAATAGGTGCTGGGCGCCTGGTCGCTGGGCTTTAGTTGTTGTCAGCCAATGGGCGTGCTACTTTTAGGGGCGCCGCACTGATTTTCACACCCGGGCGCCCAACACGGTTAGAACGGCCCTGGACAGAAGGTGTTTTTTAAATTGATTCATATAAAATATATAACTGCTATAGGATGAAGATGATGTTGATTAACACTGTTTTCATTTATAAAAGCAAAATAAATAAAAGTATACAAGAATAGGTTAATATGCCAGCGGCGCCAAACATCAAAGCGATTATTTGGATGAAAATATTAACTAAAACTCGCTCATGAAGGAGCTTGTTAAAAATAAACAACATTTGTGTTAATATTGGAGAGGAAGATCAAATAATCTTTTTACATCCAATTTCGATTAAATTTGGATACAAAATGTAACTGAGTATTAAATAAATGCTTTATGTAAAAGAGACTTTAAAGTGTGCTTGATAAACGATCATATTTTTGTCTAATGTTTAGCTTAGCTTAGCTTTAGTTTAGCTTTAACTTCGATAAGTGTAAAATACATCCAAAAAAATATATAATAATAATATTTTTAATGACGTATAATTATTATAACGTTTATCGGTCGCTTTATAAAACAGCGAGGCGTGAATTGAAAGTTAATATGCAACAGGAGATGACATTTTGCGAAAGTTTCATGAAGCTCAACGCGCGAGTTACGAAGTTGTTTGACACTTCGGCTGCTCTCTACCACGATGTCATATAAAATTATAAAAGTTTAATACATACGTGATAATGTTATAAAATACTATTTACTATACACTTGTAAAAAAGACGCAAAAATGATTGATCGATTGATGGATGATAATGATAGATATAAAACATTTGGACATAGATGTAAAATATTTGGAAGAACACATAGGCTACTCATTAAGTTTTATTTTTAATTCCGGGCGAATGGAGTCGCGGGCGACATCTAGTAAGAGAATAAATAAAATAGTGACTATCAATTTATCATTTCCAGTAACAATATTGGCCATTAAAGTTCAAGGTACTATAATAAAGATATACATATAATGAAATGAAAGTAAAAAGTTAGAAAGAACTTTTCCATTACACCTCATCGTGAGTTGAACAGATGAGGCGTTCTAAGTTGTTCAAAGAAAAG